TTGCTTTTCCCTCTTAGTTTCGAGGCAAGGTCTTTCACTGCATCTGGGGCTCCCTGTTTGGGTGACCACTGAGCCTGCAGGGTCTGCCTCTTTCTGCCTCTGGCACCAGCGTTACAAAGGCATGTCACCACACATGCTGCTTATGTAAGTGCTGGGATCTGAACTCAGGGACTCACGTTTGTGTATTGGGCACATTACCCACAGAGCGGCACGTTCCCCCAAGAATAGACTATTTCTTAAAAGCTGAAATTATCTACAATATTCCAGTTGGTAGCACATATAATTTCACATGCATTTTGGACAAAATAAATCAAAGAATATAAATGTTTAGTTTCACTATATATATTTATACAAACGTTTCAGTAATTTTTGATACACATATAATTTGTTTAGCAAGGAAATCAGTTATAGTTACAAATGAGAAAGTATAAATAAAAGTATATATTATCAAACATTTACTTTTAATTCTTTTATGAATTTTATAGTGCAATTTAAATGATTACTCTCCATTTGATGATGTATCTATTTCTGTCCCTTTACATATTCTCTGAGGACTAAACTAGTCTAGGTGCTTTTCATTGTGACAGGAAATAGATACCTGGCTATGCTAGCAAGTGCTTTCATTTTTACTTTGATTAAATGCTATGTATTAATACAAATATTAAAAAAAATATTTAACATCTTACACGGTCACAGTTCATAAGCGCTTTGTGCCAGCCTGAATGTTAACCATTGAGAAGTAGATGCCTTTCTGTGCCAGCAGCTGCTGGTGGGTGCCATGCTCCTTGACCTTGCCGTTCTGAATCACCACGATCAAGTCTGCGTTCTGGATGGTGGACAGGCGATGAGCGATCACAATGCAGGTGCGGCCCTCCCTGGCTTTGTCCAGGGCTTCCTGGACAACCTGTTTCACAATCACATGGGAGATTATGATGAAAACAGTCCTCTTCCTACAGTCCCCTCCCTGACAAGCCCCAGGATTTGTACACTCTGTCCTTCAACAGTGGCCTTGGTGGTGAAATGAAGCAGAGATTAGAAACCAAGGTATCAGTCACACCAGAAGAGAAGTGAACACCAGTTTGGATGAGTTCTGAGACAGACGATGTCTAATGGAGACAGGAGATGTCTAATGCAAGGTAAGGGCAGACTATGGAGTCCACCCTTTAAAAACACTCTCGGGCCTTGCCAAACAACATCCCTAAAGCGTCCTCAAGCCAGCTCCAGAGCATCAGGAAGCTGGAGCACAGGCCAAAGCCATCGCAGCAGTACAACAACCCCTGACCATCGGCTGTCACACAGCCCAACTCTTAACCTTTCTCAGGCTGGAAGGCACCAGCAGCATGTGTCTTAGGGCACGGCCGGACTTCAGCCCAGTCTCCCTTCAGCTCTTCACGGGCTGCTGCAGAGACGCTGCCTGCAGGAGCAGACTGCTGCAGCATGCAGCTTGTAGGCAGACATCACGGAACACAGAGGGCCCGAGATTAATTTGCCCCTCATCACTTCAGGTCTCCGAAGGCCCATGTAGGCATTTCAGCTGCGCTGGGAGCCGACACCAGCAGCAGTCAGCTGTCTGGCTCAGCGTTCTCCACCGCGGCAGAGAACGAAGCCAACTTAAACCCTTACCTTTTCGCTCTCGGTATCCAGAGCTGAGGTGGCTTCATCCAGAAGCAAAATGTGAGGCTGTCTGACGAGGGCGCGCGCTATGGCGATGCGCTGCTTCTGCCCACCCGACAGCTGAGTGCCTTTGTCTCCTACTCTGGTGTTGTATTTCTGGGAACAGAATTTGGTTGTTATGAAAACAGAGCTGATGACAAAGTGCAAAGACAGTGTGACTATAGAATAAATAATTTTCTAGTATACATAATATATAACATAAAACATGGGTTTAGCAGTCAAAATCCAAGTATAAAAACCAAATCCATGGCTCACTCTTATATATATATATGTATATATATACATATATATAACAAAAAAAGCTCTAAAATGGTGGATTTAATATCTCTGTTATTTTTATGGGTTTTTACATTTTGTGGGGGGTGGAGAGGGGATCACAGGACAACTTGTAGGTAGATCCTCCTGTGGGATCAAACTCAGGCTCTTCAGCATGGCGGCAAGCACCTTTAGTTCCTACGCCATCTTGTTAACCCTCTGTCTCCTTTCATTGGGTCTCACTACAGATCTCAGGTTAGTCTCACACTTACTGCATAGACCAGGCTGGCCTTGAACCCTTCCTCAGGTGTCATCTGAGATGACAGATGTGTGCGGTTGTACCTTCCTCTCTCTGGAAAACAGATACCTTAAAACCATATACTGTATGTGAGTTGACCAAAATTTATAAGTGTAGGAATTTTGTAATGGTTTTAACTTTCACCTTCTGCTCTAATTACATTTAGGACATGATTTGTGGGAAATTTAAACAGCTGTTTATTATCATCAAAGCTTGTCTTATTCACAACCTACAGTTGATGCCCTGTGAAGTATTTTAAAGTGAAAAAAAATTAAGAAATTCTTAGGATGTTAGCATTGGGTCTTTGTTTTTATGAACCATCACCAACAATTAATTAATATTAATTAATTGGTATTACAGAGTTAATATTTAACCAAGAAAAGTCAAGTATTCTCCAAAAATTTGGGTTTCACATTCCATTCAAAATTCTTCCTATACTGTTTCCCACAGTAGGCAATCATCACTAACTAGTCAATATGATGCAAGAGACACTAGTTACAGGGTGTGCATAGGATCATATACACCTAGGAAACATTATTTTCCTGTATTTGAGCCCTTAATATGTTGACATTATAGCCAAAATGTGGGCTCTGATCTTTGTACCTGAATTTTGACTGTTCCTTTCTTGTTCGTGTATGTGCGTGTTTGTGTATGTGCATATGTGTGGTGCGTGTTTGTGTGTGTGTGTGTGTGTTTGCGCGCTGTGTTCCTTGTGCACTTCTTTTCTTGAGACAGGGCCTCTCACTGAGATCTAGAGCTCACTGATTGGGTTAGGCCAGCTGGATGTGAAATCTGAGGGATCCTTCTATATGTGCCTTCTCGGGGCTGGGATTACAAGCATGTGCCCCATCCTGTTCTTTGCCTGGGTGCTCAGGATTAAACTCAGGGCTTCGGGGTTGTACTACAAGCACTTTAATGGCTGAACTATCTCTTCAGCCTCTGGAGAGAAGAACCCTGCTAAGGTCTGGGCAGATGCTTGATAGAGATTCCACCCCTGAGCTGTATCTGCCTCAGAATCCAGGTGTTCTGGATGTGTTCCTCCCTGTGTGAGTGCGGAGTCACCGGGCTGCAGGAACTCAGCAGTGATCCTTGTGGGGTCCATAAGGACAGTGCTCTTAACCCCATGGGAAGGAGGAAACGACCAATGGCAGAGTAAGCCAATGGCTAGGTCTAATCACTCAGAAGGGGATGCTTAGAGACCAGAGTCGGTCTAGTACGCTGAGAATAAGAATCATGATGTCCACAGAGGTGCTCTGAGTAACAGAAAGAGATTGAAGTCCAGAGGTGGGTCCTTGTGGTAGTCACATACCAGAGGACAAAATATTTTTGAGACTCTATAGTGATTCTGTGTTGTCGCCTGCATCAGTATCATCTGAGCTTTGAAGTCTCAGAGCCCTGGACCCTGCTGCCAAGTTATTCTTCTTCACCAGTGATAGGGTGGAGGCTGATACTTTGTACTTCCGACGACTTCCAAGGTGACATTGATCCACATTCAGGCTTTGAAAGTCAGTGGCTCTCATTAGTAAAGGGTGACTAGGGATTGGTACTTTGAATGTTTGAGCCTGGAAAAGTTACTAATTCTTGGTTGGACCACATTGAGGAGAGGAGGGGACAGGCCTGCTCCCAGGTTATGTGTTTGAGGGGAGTAACTATCTATGAAAAAGCCAAAAGAGAGGAGAGTTTTAGGGAAGAGTTTTGGCCATGGTGTTGTCATGCGTGCCTGGCTGGTTTGAGGCTACCAAGCCTTATTTTAAGAGCACTTCCTGTAATAATGAACATAACTAGTGATAATGGGAGAATATATATTAGTTATGTAAGATGCATTTTTAAAAAATAAGACCTGAGAAGGTACAGAAAAAGGTGAGAGATTCAATTTATCCAACTTACAGGAAGAACTGAGAGAAGTCCATAGGACAATAGCCCTGGGAAGATTTTGGTAGTCAAGTCTAAGATTGTAGCTCAGGACCCTACAGTGGGTGGTACATCAATTATAGATCATATAATACCATAGCCATCTTAGTGACTCAGCTCTAGTTGGAAAGAAAGCCTTCTTTCTGGCATGGGCACAAGCTCCCTTGTCTGGCCTAACTCCATAGTGGCACTTGGATCACTGAGGGGAGCTACAGAACATTCATGCCTGCTTCCGCTGCAGAAACAGTGGAGACTAGATGCTGCCTGTCTACCCTTTACCTGGAAGTGGGACACTCACATGTATCCCCAGGCCAGAAACAGGTGGATCCTCGAGCTGACAAACTTAAGAACTGTTCCAGTTCTCAAAGTTCCTGTCTCTTCTCCTTGACTCTGTCTAATATTCTGCTACTTCCTCACAATGACAGGGAAGGAATTGGGTAAACATAATCTCTAACTCGGCTAAGAAGTATGGATAGACACCTCTCTGCTGGTAAGATACATTTTGGTTGCTAGTCTTAGGTTTCAGAGGACAGGCCCAGGGGTGTAGCTCAGTGGTCGAACACTTGCCTGTTACATACAATGCCGTGGGTTTCATCCCCAGACTGGGGATGGGCAACACCAAAGAATAAATGAAAGGGGCTGCTAACTACCAGGCACAAGGTACATACATTAGGCAGTGACTCGATGAACTGGTGGATGTTGGCCTCCTTGGCCGCCCTCACGATCTCGTCCTGGGACACAACCCGGCTGTTGTCTCCATAGGCGATGTTCTCTGCGATGCTACAGTCAAACAGGATGGGCTCTTGGGACACAATGCCAAGTTGGGCTCGGAGCCACTGGACATTGAGTTGCTTTACTTCTTTGCCATCTAGAAACTGGGAGCAAGGGTTCACAGATCAACTTCAGGACCAGCACAATTCAGATTTAGCAAGATCAGCACCATTATTTCACAGCATAAAACTCTTGGGTTGCTGTGAGATTAAGGAAAAGGTTTCTGGTTAATTTTTAGTTGTCATATAAAATATAATCATTATATTTTCATGTGTATGTATCAATGAACTTTACTTTGATTTGTCTCTCACTACTTCTACAACTCTGTTTGAGATAAAGTCTCACTCTGTAGCCCAGGCTGGCCTGGAACTCACACTTTAGCTCAGGCTAGCCTTGACTCCATGGGAATTTTCCTGTCTCATCCTCCCAAATCCTGAGATTATAGGCATAAACTACCAACAGCTCGACCTTACAACTCTTTATAAAAATATTTAATGATATATTTAATAAAATAAATTATTTATTTTTTACTGAGAATTTAGTCAGAGTTTGAGAACCAACATTTCACTAATTTTGAATGTAGTGATAAGTCCTGTGTTCAAACTTCAGTGATAAAACTGAAACATGAAATCAGAACTCTCAGAAAATAGTTTTTAAAAAGGCAGTAAGGTAAGGAGCAGAGCTCTTGTAACTAGTAAAAAATTGATGCAGTAAGGTTGTAAATGTGTGTGTGTGCATGCACATTTTTGTTTTTACATCTGGTCCACAGGCCTGTCCCCGCTGTCTTCAGAACGGGGCAGACTGCCCATGGATATCAACCAGCCATGGCATATCAAACTGCAGTGAGACAGGAACCTCCTCTCCTATTAAGTCTGGATGAGGCAATCTGGGCAGAGGAAAGGACCCCAAAGCAAGTAACAGAGTGAGAGACAGCCCCTGCTCCCACTGTTAGGAGTCCCGCAAGAAGACCAAGCTGCATACTATAACACATATATAGAGGGCCTAGGTCAGTCCCGTGCAGGCTCCCTGGTTGTCTGCTCAGTCTCTGTGAACCTCTATGAGCCCAAGTTAGTTGATTCTGTGTGTTGCCTTGTGATGTCCTTGACCCCTCTGGCTCCTACAATCCTTCCTTCCCATCATAAGTGTTTTTGAATAGAATAGAAAAGAGGCCAGCCTGGTCTACAAAGAGAGTTCTAGGACAGCTAAGGCTGTTACACAGAGAAAGCCTGTCTCGAAACACCAAAATCAAAACAAACAAACAAAAATTCTAAGTAGCAGTGAATAATTAGTAGGAAAGTTAAAAAGAACCATGGACAGCAGGTAGAAAATTTCCTTCTTTTCATCTCAGTCACTAGTGCTGCCAAGGCCCCCTGGAGCAATGGGTCATTGCTAATGCTTCTGCGATGTTCTGAGTGCTCATA